CGGTTCTGCCAGATCACCTACCTTTGTCGCTTACCCATGCAGTGGCAGGAACCTGGGTCTTCAGGCTTTTCTGAGGATCACAATTCTGATCCTTTGGCTCATTTAAAAAAGAGATCCACCGACCAGCCCACCGTCACTCAGCTCCCCACCGTGCGCTACAGTGAGGATCTAGCGCATCAGAGGGCCTATTAAAACCCAGGTTGCTCCCCTCCCCCCCCACCCCGCCCCCTGCTGCAGAGTTCCTGATTCAGTGAGTCAAGAACTTGCATGTCTATCAAACTGCAGGTGCTGCCGCTGCTGGGCGGGAACCACACATTGAGAAACCCTAGTCTAGTCTTTAGGGGCAGGGGCTCTGGGGCTGGGCTGCTGGGGTCCGCCGTTCTGCTGCCTTCTAGCTGTGCCGCTCTGGGCTACAGTCGCCTCTTCTGTAAAACCAAGGTAATCATAGTCACGACCTCATAGGTAACCCTGGGGGTTGAACGGGTTCACACACGTAAAAACTATGAGCCTGGCGCATAGTAAGTGCTCAGTAAAATTTGCTATTATCAGTATAGCGACAAAAGCACCATTTCCAGGTTTCATTCTGGGCTTACACTGGCTGTGTGACTTTGAGGACATGGTCCCACCTCACTTTTCCCATCAGTGCTAAGAGAGTAATGGTAACTCACTTTACATTCCACACAGGATGGTCTGAGGACCAAATGGAATCTGTGTGCGTCCACTCTGTAAATGGTAAGCGCTGTGCAAACACTTGCAGCTAGATGTGGTGGGAAGAACATGACCTTGAAGTCAGAGAAACCTGGCCTGAAATGTCAGGTTAAGTGGGCAAGCCTCTGCATCTTTCGAGCCTCGGGTTCCCCCTCTCTAAAATGAGGGAGATAACAGCATGGGCCTCCGGGGAGCAGGGAAATGTCCTGAGGACCCCTTGCCTGAGGGCTGCACCTTACTCAGTGAGTGCCAGGGTCTGAGGATTTCACTTGAGGGTCAGCGCAGGTGCCTGGGCCTTGCCCAGCTCCCTCCCACCGATCTGCCATGGAGTGGCGGCCTAATGTGAGACACCCTCCAGCCTGCAGCCTTGGCTGGCCCCCTCTCCAGACCCCGGAACCCCCAGTTCACAGGGCTGTAAGGAAGACCCAGCGAGAGAAAGGGTGGTGTGCTGCCCAGAGCCCATGCCAGGCAGGCCCTTGGGGAACACTCCTTTGGCAGAAGCCCTCACCGGGCCTCCTAGGCTGCCTCCAACATCTTGCCTCTGGGAGCTATCAACTCTGGAAGTGAGAGCCTTGCAGCCCTAAGAGGTTTCAGGGCAATTTTATTCTCCAGGAGAGAGGTTGAACAGCCCCTCCTTCTCCAGGAGGGGAGGGGGGAACCAGAGGCCTGTTTAATTTAATTTAACGCACGGTGGCTTGCCAGGTTGCCCCTGGTAACAGCCTCAGCTGCTGCTTTAGTTACAACCAGAAGGATTTTTAAAGAGACAGCCCATTTTCGGGCCAGGATAGCCCAGCAGAGTGCATGGCATCCACCAGCTTCATCACCGGGATAGAGGATTAAAGCTCAAGCCAGGTGAGACCTCAGACTGGATCTGTTTGGGCCATTAACTCCACTCCAAATCTGCAACCCCATAAGCCCTCCTGAAAACGTCACTCTTCAGCAGAATCTGAAAGGGACTACGTTTGGGATTTGTCATAGCGATGTCACTCAGCTAGCTACTTTTCTGAAAATCTGTTTTAGCCTTCAAGTTGAAGGGAACCAGGGGAGAGGAGTTACCCCTGCAATTCAGGCATACCGCCACCAGGTGGTGGTATTGCCTGCATAGTGCAAACCACAACCAGGCTCTTGAATTACTCAAGGGTACCAACGGGTTTTAAGTCCCGATACTAACTAGCGTGTTACTGGGTAAGTTGCTTCACCTCTGTGGTCTCAGTATCCTCAGAGAAAGAATGTGAGTGATCAAGGAAACAGTGCTGAGGACAATGGTTGGAGCTAGGATTATGAAGGCATAAATTTAAGTGTCACCTCTGTCTGGTACTAGCTGTGATCTGGGCACATAACTTACTTTCTTGTGGCTTGAATGCCAAACAAGAGGAACAGGGAGAGCCCTGAGTATACCATGTAACTCTCCAACACCGGGGATCTGTGGAGGGGAGAAAGGTGCTTGGGACCCCACAGGGGATGTGAAGCCCTAATAGCACAGTGGGCGGGTGGCGGGGGGTGCGGTGGAGAGCAGGGTGAGCCAGGACCCCTCTGGACTCCAGAGAGGTCGTTGCCCCAGAGGGAACTGGAATAAGTCCCCTGGACAGAGCAGCCTAACCCGCTCAGCTCTAACCCAAGCCAGGAGAAAGGGGTCCAACATTTATGGAGTGCATACTCTGGGCTGGGCACTGCCCCACAATGCCTGCGAGCTCTGTATTATTATCCACCTTTGCAGATAAGGACACAGCCTCCCAGAGGTAACTCACGCATCCGGGGTCGCCCACCTCATGGGGCCAGGCCTGTCGGCCACCTGAGCCTCTGCTCTTGCTCGTGGCCATACCTCCTTGTCAGAAGCCTGAATGAGGCAGCAGGTTCCCTTTCTCCCTACCAGGACTCAGTTTGGCCAACCTCAAAATGGGCATGGGGCCAGAGGTCATGAGATCATACCTCTAGACAGCCAGAAAGCCTGAGGCACTTAAGCTTCACTCCGTCACACGATCATACACTGACATTACGTCCCGGTTTTTGGCCAGCATGGCCCCCAGGAGTGGCCCCATGACTCAGTCCCCCTTCCTATGTCCCAGGTGCCGTGTTGGTAGAACAGGTAAGGTTATCCAGCAGCCCATCCTAGCCTTTTGCTTTGACAAATGTTCCCCACTGAGCCTTCGAGGATGTCCTTCAACCCTTGGCAACTGCCGCCTTCCCCTCCGGACAGCCCTGTCCCCAGCTAAAGCCCCATACATGTATTCCCACCTAAGTGACAGGAGGACTCTCCAAGGTGGTGTGAATGTAAAAACACACTGGCTCTGGGCACCGCCCTTTCCATGGCTCCCCACTGCCCTGCACATGAACCCCAGGGCCTGAGTCAGGCCCTCGGGGGCCCCTCTGATATGCCCCTGTTGGCTCATCCTCCCGCCCCTTACAACACACCACACTCCCTCACCACCGACTGAGCTTTGGCACACGATGTCCCTCCATCTGATGCCTTCTCTCATGGTGTCCCCCTGGGTGGTTCCTACTTGTCCTGGAGAAGCCTTCGCCAGCAAGTCCTCCTCTAGAAGCTCTGTGGGCACTCCTGTAACATGCCGGATACTTCCTCCCATAACCCATAGCGTTCCTTCCACTCGCACTGTGATATGATCTGGCTTTCGCACCAGACTGGGAGCTCCTAAAGGTGGGACCTGCCTTTCCTTTCCTATCCCCATTGTGCCCAGCCTGGGCCAAACAGGGAAGATACTTGGTGAATAGTGGCTAAGAAATGTGATTAGCGGGGCCTCCTCGGGGGGATCTGGCTTGCACCCTGGGTCAAGACCCTGCCTCGATGGGCAGTCACACCTCTCAGTGGGATCGGACTCACAGGACCCCTTTCTCTCTTCTCCCTCCAAGCTCATCCACAGCCTCCTCAGAATGGCTACAATATAACTTGCTGACACTTCCTCCCCCCCACGCCCCATTCACACACACCGTGCTCCATGCTCACCAGGCGCGCCACACGTCTCCACACTGAGCCCTCCATCTGGAATGCACTTGACCCCCAGCCCACCCTCTGAAATACCACTGCTATTCAAGACTCATCTGACAGCCCATCCTCTGCAAGACCTCAGAGTCTTTTGGCTGGGAGTGGCCTCCCCATCCTAGTGCATCTGTCCACATCACTCTCATGGCCTTGTTTGGACTTTGCCTCATATGAATGTTATAGGCAAGCTGGTGTGGTAAGAGGAGCATGGGCTTTGGAGCCTAACAAAGGGAGCTTGAGTTCCAGCTCTGACACTTATATGCTGTGTGACCTTGGGCAAGGTCACTGAGGCTCACTGAGCCTCAATATGTTCATCTGTAAAAGGCAGGTGAAACCTACCCAATAAGTCGTGGAGAGATTGAGAGGGTGGGTGTCAGGATCCTGGCACATGGCAGTCACCCAGTCAAGCTCTATTATTTATGCCTGGACCTGTTTTCCTAGCTAGGTTGTGAAACCATTTGGGCCAGGGTGCCGGTCCAATTCGGTGCTACGTCCCTAAGCACTCAGCACAGGGCCTCACACCACAGATGCCCAGAAATTCTGGCTGAACTGAGTGCATTCACTCGGCTGCTGGGAGTCGGGGGGTTGATGGGGATCCTGAGCTGAGGAGGCCATGGTGGGTGGGGGGTTGGTGAGTGCAGAATCCAGCCTGGAGATCCACGCCAGGAGACGAATGTGGAGGGAGGGAGCAGAGCCCGAAGCAGAGCTGCTGATATGCACTAGGGGTTTTATTGGTTTTCATTAAAATTCCTTCCCGAGGCAGCAGCAGCTACTCCCATAAATAACAGCATAAATATTTTATCTGGTGCCCAAGCCAGTCTAAATGCCTGGTGAGGTTGGCAAGAATAACAGTGGGAAAACCGTTCAGGGGGGTCCTGGGCTGCAGCTGAACTCCATTAACAAGCCCGAAAGGGCTTTCTCAGGAAGGAGGAAGCTGAAGGGTGGCGCCAAAGGAGAGAAGCGAGTGGACAGTGGGGGAGAGAGAAGGTGACCGGTGGCTGGTGGGCCCTGGAATTGGGGGGAGGGATCCAGAGCACAGGTCGGGGAGCCAGGGGGAGGGGAGCTTAGTTTGGAAAGTAAGATGGAGGGAAGAAATGTATTCCACTCCTGCTCCGTGATGGGCACCTTACTTAGGACATTCACACAGGTTGTCTCGTCAAACCTTGTGCAATCAGAGAAATGAGGTGATTCGCCCAAGGGTTACTCAGCCACAGTGGCAGATCCAGGACCATGATTAGAGGTGTATTTGCTGCTTCTCAGGGTTCAGGGCAAGTGCCATTCTCTGCTTTCCTAGATCCCAGTGGAGGAGAAAAGGGGCTGGTACTTCACCATGGCAACGCTCTTCATCAGGTCAGCCTGGGGAGCCCGGGACTGGACAGTGGGGAGGGTGATGTGTGGCCTGGGACCCGGGGAAGAGGTGGCTGAGTCCATTTCCGTGGTGAGGGCTCCCCAAGTTCCCCTCCATGCCACTGGCCTGGGGAGTACTCGCAGCACCCTAGGGACAGCTGGGAGGGGGTGCCAGGCACCCACGTCCCCTTCTTGGCCACAGGCTAGATGGCATCTTCCTGGAAATGGGCAGCGAGGAGCAGAAGAGGCTGCCCGCCTTCAACCGCACACTGGCCCTGCTCCGGCAAGTGCTCAAGTCCTCGGACCCCCACCACCAAGGTAGGGCCACTGGCTCCCCCTTTACCTGTCACTAGCCCTGCCTGTCACTGTCATTGTCCCCACCTCTAGCATCGTCTCCCTTTTTGGGAGATCCTGTTGCTCTCTCTCTCACCGTCTGTCCCATATACTCATTTGTTCATTTCACAGAACTCATGCACCTTGCACCTTGCACGTTGCTCAGTGATTTCATGCCACAGACCCTTCATCTTCCTGGGGGCTAACACCGTGCGTGGAGCTGGCCCCCTCCCTCTCTCCACCCTGCTGCTTCCTAGACACCCCTCTCCCACACTTCACCCCCAGCTCTGGCCTGGTGCTACCTCGGGATGCTGCTAGAGAGGAAGGACACCTTCTCCACCACCCCCATGGGTGTCCACGACTGCGGGTACTCGGGAACCGACCCCCTGGACTGCTTTGGCAAGGTACGTCCCCTGGCCACACCCACTCTCCAAACTGGGATGGAGCGTGACACCCCAGCCTCCTCTCCTGGAACCCGCTGCTTCTCTGGGTGGTGTCCCACCTCTGTTCCCCATCGTGTGCACCCCCCCAGGAAGTGCCCTGGCTTTCCCTCCTCTCTTCATTCAAAACAATGGTGAGGTGATGTTTGTCATTGTTCCTTTTTGCTTAAGAATCAGACCCTCCCCACGCCCAGTCCCAGAGCCCATCTCTCCAGCCTTACCTTCTAAGCTATTCGCCTTGTCTCAGATATACCCTCAGACTTCTCCCTTTCAGGTGTGGTTCTCACTGTCCTTCCCCACCCCCAGTGACATAGTGGAAAGAAGATGGGCTTAGGTGGGGTCTCGTGCCAGCTCTGCCCATGGGCCATGTGACCCTAAGCAAGTCACTTCCATCCCTGAGCCTCATTATGTGTTAATTATGTTGTTTGTCTACCTTCCAGGTCATTGAGAGACTCAAAGGCAGTAGTGGTTGAAACTGTTCACTGTAAACTGTAAAGTGCTGTTCAAGCCTTGTTCTTGGGCACCTCATTTATGTGGTAGTTTCCACACTTAGCTCAGTTTTGAAGTCTTTCCTGGAGGCCAGGGACCCTGTGATATTCATTGACCTGTGCATTCAGCACAGTGCCCTGCATGGGGCACATCCCTAATACTTGCTGGTGGATAGATTAACGCGCAAGTCCTTGACGAGAGATCTTAAAACAACAGAATAGAAACGATGGCTCATAAGGATTCTGAGAGTTGTGTCCAATTTAACAAACACACTGCCTTCACCCTTCCTTGAGAAAGCAAGATGGAGGGAAGAAATGTATTCCACTGTGCCCAGCACAGAGATGAGTCCCTACAGGAGTTCACTATTCCATAGGCAGCAACCCACACAGGACAGGCAGTGGTAACAGTATAGAGGGGAAGTACTGCGGCCCCAGTAGAAACACTGCACTATGTACATATGGGGGAGGTAAAGGCTGATTCTGACCCTCCTTGCAACGGCCCGGGGAAACTGGGGGAGCATACCCTGGATGTGTCTGAGGAAGAGAGATTTGCCTTTGTATGGAGGGATTCACTGGACAGGACACATGAACATGGTGGGGAGCATGGGAGTTGGGCTCTTGGGAGTTGAGTGCCAGTGAGTTGTACCCTAACATGTTAGGTTCCATGATATGGCCAAACTTACTGGCAGATGGATTTCGGGAATAAGAGCATGGCAGTGACATGGCTCTATCCAGAGATGGGAGACGGGCTGGTCAGGCAAATAACCAAATAGTTTGCTCTTACCCTTCTCCCTTCCCTAGGCTATTGAGATAGCCAAGGACCAACCCCCCATCCTGAATCGCCTGGCCAAAATCTTCCACTTCCTAGGAAAGCAGGATATGGCCATTGGAACCTGCAACATGGCTCTAGATATCCTACGAGATCCGGAGCTCAACTGGCAGGCATACTGCACAAGGGCCAAGGTGAGTCAGCCTGCAGGCTCCGCCTCATCCTGCCATCAGAAATCAAGAGAACAAGGGCCAGAGACTAAAACTGTGTTGCCAGAGCCCAAAGGTCATAGGGCCTTCATGGTGAAAAGGAGCTTGGGAGCCATCAAGACACAAGGTTTGTGTTCTGTAAGGTTGCTGAGTGAAAGAATGGAGACTCCCACCCACTGCAGGCACGCCTCTACAATGACCTGGTAAATGACCTCCAGCCTCTACTTGGTTAGCACTCAATACAGGCTTGACTGACCTGGGTTGAAATCTGGCCTCTCAACCGATTACTGTATCTAAAACCCCATTCCCCAAACTGTAAGGTATGGATAATGACCTCTGCCTAGAATGCTCTTCTCCCTGATTGGCTTCCTTCCTCACTTCCTGGAGGTCTGGACGAAAACGAAGCTTCTAGCACCATCTTACTGAAAATGTCAACCTCTCACCAACACTTTTTGTCCTCTTTCTTGGTTTACTTTTTCTTCTTAGTGCTTATTACTCCCCAACATACTATTTATTTATCATGCATATTGTCTTTCTCTCTCCCACACTAAAATATATGCTCCATGGGGGCAGGGAATTTTGTTTTGCTCTCTACTGGGTGCCTGGAACAGTATTAGCACATAACAGGCTCCTGATGAATATTTGTTGAATGAATGAATGAATGAATGAAAGAACTGAGCACATACCATATGCTAGATCTTGGCTAGAATATGTTCTCTCAATCGTCATGGGAACGCTCCAAGGAAGATACCAGTGTACTAATTTTTCAGATGTGGAAAATAAGGCTCACAGAGGTTGAACAACATCCTCCCCAGCTCACATGCTAACAAGAGGAGAGGGGAGGGGCTGGAATTCCACCAAGTCCAGCTGGCTCCAAAGCCAGAGTTCCCTCCTCCCCCACCTTATGATGCTCTCTTAGAACTAGAGCCCACCAGGTTGGCTATAAAGCATTAATACCTTCAGCAACAACGACCCCTTTTACCTACTTCCTCCTTCTCATGCCTCCCCTTCGGAACCTGTAGATTTTTTTAATGCTCCAAGTATGGGGGAAAAGGAGGGGTGAGGATGAAGGCAAGAGTCTGGAATCATTTGTAATTTGACACTTGTAAGTTGGGGCCACCTTCCATTCTTTGCAAATTGCTTATGTGGACTCTCACAAAATCTGTGCTGCCATCCTATCTAAAATGGCCCTCTCCCCCAGTCCCCTCTAGCCCATCACCCCGTTTATTTTTTCATAGCCACTTGTCACCACTGCATGCCCAGTACCTAGCACTGGGCCTGGCATATGGTGGGTACCCAGTACATGTTTGTTGAATGAATGAGGGGCTCTTTACCCCCTCATTGTACAGACAGGGAAACTAAGGCCCAGAAAAGGTGTCGTTAGCACAGTTGGCACAGAACTAGGACCTAGGACTCTGGGTCCCTGTCTCAGGGGCCCTCTACTGCACCACAGAACTGCCCTGAGGTGCTGCTGAGAAAAAGACTGGCATCATTTAGGGTAGAAAGGAGGGCAGAGGTCCTTGCTTGGAGCATCATCCCTGAGCTGACTGTCTACGGCAGATCCACCTCAGAGCCTACCTGCACGACCTGGAGCGAGCCAAGATGGGGCTCGGGGGCATGCCTGACAGGAACCACCTGTCCTGCGCCAAGGCCGATCTGGAGGAAGTGGTCAAGGTGTGCCCAAGCCTCAAGACCTACCTGGACATCGGCCAGGTAAGGCAGCCTCTTGGCTTGAGTAGCCAACGGCTTACTAAAAACCTGTTTACTCTCTACCAAGGCAGGCCTGGGCACTGAGGACACAGGGGGAAATACAGCTACCCCCCCATCCCTGTCTGATACCGTACCCACCTCCTACAGCCATGGTGAGGATTATATGAGAAAATGCACATACAGCATTTAGAACAGGGCCGTGCTCTTTCTAAAGCACTCAGGAAGTGAGGGCCATTACTCTTTATCCCGAAGTGCCTTCTGGGCACAAGGAATGATTACCAAGAGGTGACAATATCCTAATTTTCCATACGCGAAAACTGAGGCCCAGAGTGTGCCTCGCTCAAGCTGATAGGGCCAAGAGTGGTGGGGCTGGAACTGGAATCGCTATTTCTTCTCCTTTTCCGGGGGCGGGAATTTGTGAAGCATTGTGGGAGAGAGGGTGGAATTTTTTTTTTTAAAAAGCAAGTATGGGCGCGGAATGCCCAAGGAGAAAGGCTCACCCCGCCCTCCCCCACCAGGTCTACTACTACATGGGTGTGGACGCCGTGCAGGAGCTGCTGGCGGTGGACGAGGCGGCGCTGAACCAGGCGCTGGTCTTCCTGGCCAAGGCCGGCGAGTCGGAGCTGGGCGCCACCTTGCCCGAGCTGCAGCTGCTGCGCGGCAAGTGCCTGCGCATCAAGGGCGAGGAGGCCAACGCGGCGGCCTGCTTCAAGCGCGCCGTGGAGCTGGACGACGCGGGCTCCAGCCACACCGAGGGCTTCGGCTGCCTGCTCGAGGCGCTGCTGGCGCAGTGGAGCCAGGCGCAGCTGAGCGACGCCGAGCTGGGCCGCGAGGTGGACGCGTGGCTGCGCCGCGCCCAGGGCAAGTACCCCGCGGCGCGCCTGCGCCAGGAGCTGCAGCGCGTGTGGCGCGGCCACACGGGCGAGGTGCTGGGGCTGGCCCGGGCCCTGGTGGCCCAGGGACGGCCGGCGCTGGTGCGGCTGCTCTTTGAGACCATGGAGCAGGACGGCGACGTGGCAGGCGTGCCGCGGGGCCGCCGCGCCTTCTCTCTCTGAGGGGCGTCGAAGCCCCGCCCCGTCGAGGCCCCGCCCTACCTACAGCTGATTGGGCGCTCAAAACGGGCCTGCCCTGCCATAGGCTGGCGGGTGAGCGGAGCCAATTAGATTCTCTTCCGGGAATTGGGACGGGGCGGTTGAGAAGCGAGGGCAGTTTGGCCTGCCCGCAGAGCCACAAAGGCCCCGCTCAGGAGAGCCGCTGAGGTTGGGGCAGACGCGAGAGACCACCGGGAGACTGCCATCTAAAGCACTGAATTGTGCAAATATGCAGAAAAAGTAAGATGGTTGCAAGATACAGAAGATAGTTGTCTCCATTCTGGCGGCCTTTTAGTCCCCGTGCACAATCCTCGAGGCCTGAGTTCCTGTCTTTGGATTGCCGTGAGCCACACTCTACCCTTATAATAAAACCGCCTCTACATAAATTGACCGGAGTGGGTCTCAGGTCCCGCAGCCAGAAAAGCCACGCCAGAGCAGAGGGCAAAGCTGCACAGTGAGCAGGTAAGGGCAAGGCAATAGTCTACACCTGGCTGCTCGGGCCTTTAGCCTACCTGCCTAGCAGCCTCCAGCAGGCCTCATCTTTGGCCAGCTTGGTCTGAAATGCCCCCAAACTCCCTGACATAAAGCCCATCCGGTAGAATCTTTGCTTGATTTCTCTGTTCTTAGGAGAACCTAGGGTCTCCCACCCATCAGGAAGTGCTACCTGCACCCAGTCGTGAACCTTCCACAAAAGCGTGAAGAAAGTCTTGGAATTTTGCACCCTTGGACTCATAGAGTCTTGGATGTGGAACTTTCTTGTCAAAGACTTAGGCTCTGATTGCCAGTAAATCTTAGAATGGCCAAGCTGGATTCTTGTGGCCCTACCTACAAGATCCAGTTTAACCTAAAATTCCAGAAAAGGTCTTGCCAGACTCCGGGAATGCTGGTTGTTCATAACTGCAATGGCAGGACCCCCATAATGGTTGGTGATTTATTTTGCATTTTTTCCCTTTCTTTGGAGAGTTATACGCATTGCTTTGCTCCTATCTCTGATCCTCAAACTTTACCAGGGAAAGGCCAGCACCCTGCATTGCTTCTCCTGTCTCCAGTGACAGATGGAGAACAGACTGAGAAGTACACTCCAATCCCCTGTGTAGATGAGAATCCTGAGACTCCTAGAAAGGGAGGTGGCTTGCCCAGAGTCTCACCTCCTAGCCTCCCACCCCTGTACTTCAGACTTAGTGTCAGCACTTTGCAGGTTTGGAAAAATACTAATAAAGTGATTAACACTAAGAGCATCAAGTGTTTACATGTTAAGGGTTTAAGTGTCACCTGTCACATGGGGCACTCTGAGATTCATTAGGATAATGTTCTAACACCAACAGTGAAATCTGTGACGTCTGGGCAGTGAGACCACCCCAGAGGCCCGAAATTCCACCTCGTGGTTCACCATGACTCACTGCTGTGGGTGGTGCCCTCTCGCCCCTTCCTCCTATCCGCACTGCAGCAGAGTCCGGGAGCTGACTCCAGAGCAAGCAGCGCACCCAGCCCTGTCCACTCCTCCCCCGACAGCTGTGACCTGTACCCTTCCCTCGGCCAGAAAACCAGCTCTTTCTTCTTTCTTCTCCTGCTTCCCCGAACACACAAACTGAATTCAAGGCAGTTTGCTGGCAAAATTGGGAAGCTGGTGAAGTTTGTCTGTGTCCCCAGGCTTCCCGGTTTGCGGCTTTTCCTTACTTTTCCTTACTTTTCCCAGTGCCAGGTTGTGTATTTCTCCCTTCATTGCCTCCTACTCCTGTTGAACCTTTCCAATAAACTTTCTTTCTGATAATCTCATCCATAACTAACTGTATAAATAACCAACATACACACAGTAGAGCTTGGAGTATCTGCACACTGGCCAAAAGACGAAAAGAGAAAGGAAACCCCATTTCCAGGACTGCCTCCTATGGGCAAGGCAATTCATACATGTAAGCTCACTAAATTCCTCACCAGCTTTGAGGAGTAGGCACTATAATCCTCACTTTACAGGTGAGGACGTGGAGCCACTGAACAAGGTCACAGATAAATATGGGAAGGGCCAGGATTTGGACCAGACCTGCCCTGTTGTGTGCTGCCTCCTGGGACAAAGCCCTGCCTCGAAGATGTGTCATCTGTGGTCTAGAGTTAGGCCTGTGATCACCAACTCATCCCATCACTTTACCCCTGCTCCCTCCCCACCAGGTACTAGTCTCCCTGCCCAAATGGCCTTACCTCTGTGCCTTTGTATATCCTATTCCTCTGCTGCTCTTTTTCCTGTAATTTCTGTCCGAAGTGCTTGGCTCAAAGGTGCCTCCTCCAGGGAATCTTGTCAAATCCTTCCAACTGTCATGAAGCACTCTCTTTTATGCATGGATTGCTCTCAGGGCATTGCGCCCCACTGCATTACATTTATTCCCCTCTCCCTGGGTCATAAGTATCCCAACATGAGTGTTGCCCCACTCAATTCTGGAATCTTTACAGCAGGAACCACATCTGATTCAGCCCCATGGCCCTGCACTGAGCTTGGCACACAGGATAGGCTCAGGTTTGTTGTTGAACTGAGGAAACTCACAGCAGTGACGTGCTACCTCAGTCCCAAACAGGTGACTCCATCACCACCAGGTCCACAAGGGCTGAGGTTGGGGTCAGGTCTGTAGCCCAAAGACCTTGGAGGCCTAGAGCTCAACCAGAAAGCGTCAGCTTTCTCTCCACCTCCTCACCACCTTCTGCCAGTTCCCCAATTCTGCGATTGGGAAACCGAGGCAAGAGAGCAGGACTTGGGCACGGTCGAGCAGCAAACTGATGACAGATACACACTCGAACCCCACCTCCAGACTCATAGGCCAGTGCTCTCTGCCCTTTCAGCGCTGCCTCCTCTGCCAAGTTTATTTCCGGTAAGTCCAGGAAGACTACAGGCTTTCCATTCATTCACTCAGCAAATACTTATCAGGCCAAATGCCAAGCATAGTGCCAAGCTCTGGGGCTACAGTGGAGACCAAAATAGGCCCTTGCCTTCAGGGAGTTCACAGTGTAGATCAGGCAGAGCAGGTGATGCACGGCCTTGTGGGCCACACTGGGGACTTTGGGAGACCAATGGAAAACTATCAAAGGTTTTAGCCGCAGGGCTGGCTACCCCTCCCCCTCTATACTAGCCACACGCATCCTGTTAGTGGCCCTTCCCCACACTCCCCCACCGGCCCTTGACTTCCCTCTTCCTTGGCTCCCCCTGTTCAGCAAGTCACTGCTAAGGCCAGGTGTGGAAGCCCCCCAGGAGGACGCTAGCGGGTGGGTGATCTTGATTTAATTACAGCTTTGAGCCCCGCAGAATGCCTCTGTCTGCTAGGTGGCTGGGAGGACAACTGTCTGTCATATTGCCGAAGCAGCAGGAGCTCCTTAGGGGAGCATTGCAGAGTAAAAGCCTTAATGACCCCATCATCGGAGTAATGAAGATGAATCCCACCTCGTGCTGCCTGCCCACTTCTTCCTCTGGGTCTAGCAGCCAACATCAGGCAGCTAGAAACTCCCACTCAGCCAGCGTGAACAAAGCACATTAAAGATCGTGAAAACAGGTAAGATTTTTCAGTTACAGGTTTCTAGAATCTCAGTGTTGGAAAGAACATTAGCCGTCACCTTTTCCAGCTTCTCCATCTAGATCAGAACTCCTCTCATCAGTGAGTGTTCTCAAAGGAGTGTCTTAAACCATGTGCATGCCCCTAGAAGACAGGCAACTCACTACCTATTGAGGGAATCATTCCATTTTTCAGCAGATCTTAAGTCTGCGGAGTGTGGCCCACTATTAAGTTGCAATCTTCTTTTCTGGGGCACCTGGGTGGCTTAGTCGGTTAAGCGTCTGTCTGCCTTCGGCTCAGGTCATGATCCCAGGGTCCTGGGATGGAGCCCTGGGCCCTGCACTGGGCTCCCTGCTCAGTGGGGAATCTGTTTTTTTCTGCCTCTCCCCTGCTCGTACTCTCTCTCCCTATCTCTGTCGCTGTCTCTCTCTCAAATAAATAAATAAAAAGAAAGAGGGGCGCCTGGGTGGCACAGTGTTAAGTGTCTGCCTTCGGCTTGGGTCATGATCCCGGGGTCCTGGGATTGAGCCCCACATCCGCTCCCTGCTCAGCGGGGAGCCTGCTTCTCCCTTTCCCCACCCCCCTGCTTGTGCTCTCTTTCCCTCTCTCTCTCTCTGAAATAAAAATCTTGAAAGAAAGAAGAGAAAGAAAGAAAGAAGAAGAAAGAAAAGAGAAAGAAAGAAGAAAGAAATCTTTTCATTACTACTATCACTATCAAGTTCACCTTCAGGGCCACAAAGAACAGACCCTAATAAGCAAGGTGAACTTGAACAAGTCACTTTGCTCTGGCTACTCTGCCAATGGGCAGGCCAAGCTCTGACCCAGCCTGCAGCTGCCGGCGCCCAGCCGGGAGCACAGAGTGGGTGCTGGGAGCTGAAAGCTGAGCAGAACAGGGCTCCTCCTCATCCCTAATCAGGCCCCAAGGGAACACCCTGTGTGGATGATGGTGGCTGGATGCCAAATGAAGTGAAATATCTCCTTTTCTCAGGCTGTTAACTTTTTTTCTTGTTTAAGGAAGGGGAGGATAATGACATTTAGCACTTTACAACTGAGCAGTAAAATGAGCAGATGGAAACAGATCCCCAGCATTGCGGGCGTGCTTCCAGGGAGAAACCCTCCCCGCTCCTGCTCCGGCTGGGCTCCGTGGGGCCAAATCACTGGCAAGGCTTGCCAGTGGAGTTAGCGAGCACCCTAACAGCCAGCTCCTTCCTGCCCCGGCTCCTCCTCACTCCGGGCTGCACACGGGTGAGCCTGCCACGGCACACCCTGTCCCACCTACCCAGGGCACCTTTCCTACCTCCCCACTGTTGCGATGAGGAGGAGAGGCAGAGGAAGTTCTTGGTGAGACAGAGGTGAGCAGAAACTCCGGTGGAGATGTGGAAATGCCCCACCTGGCCTCTAGGTGGCCACAGAAGAACAATTTGAGCAGGGGAAGTTTCCGAGGGGAAGTCAAAGTCATCATCATCATCCTCACCCTCGAAACTACTTACTGAGAACTTGCCTTGGGCCAGTCATTCTAGCACACATCTCACACACCTTGCCCCATTTAATCCCACAAGCCCATTAGCTGTGTTATC